ATTGCTTGAACCCAGGAGGCAGAGATTGCAGTGAGTCGAGATCGTCCCACTGCACTCCAGCCTGGGTGACAGAGTGAGAAAACAACAATTCATAGTATCCTTACAGATAAATTTTTGTGTATAAACTTGGAGTTACTGTCAAGAACTCCTAGAAGTTGGAATTCTAAGTAAAAACATGTCTCCATTAAAGGCCATCTAGGAAGGGTGCACAGTTTACACTTCGATGAACAACATCTACTTCTCTACATTCTTCTCAACACCAATTATGATAAGTATTTCTCTTTAGACTGATAATTTAAAAATCATTTAAAACTCTCTCTCTTTTTTTTTTTTTTTTTTTTTTTGAGACGGAGTTTTTCTCTTGTTGCCCAGGCTGGAGTGCAATGACGTGATCTTCGCTCACTGCAGCCTCCACCTCCTGGGTTCAAGCCATTCTCCTGCCTCTGCCTCTTAAGTAGCTGGGACTACAAGTGTGTGCCACTATTCCCAGCTAATTTTGTACTTTTAATAGAGATGGGGTTTCACCATGTGGCCAGTTTGGTCTCAGACTCCTGATCTCAGGTGATCTGCCTGCCTTGGCCTCCTGAGGTGCCAGATTACAGGCGTGAGCCACCGCTCCTAGCCACTAAATCTCATTAATGTCATCATTTTAATCAGGTCACTAATGAACGATAATTTTTATTGCTTATTAACCATATTGTTTGTAGATTGCTTGAAAATATCCCTTATGTTGACGCAAAGCTGGTTTAACATATGCAAATCTATAAACATATTTCATCACATAAACAGAACCAAAGACAAAAACCACATGAGTATCTCAATGGATGCAGAGAAAGCCTTGGACAAAATCCAACAAGCCCTTATGCTAAAAACTCTCAATAAACTGGGTATCGATGAAATGTACCTCAAAACAATAAAATCTATTTATGACAAACCCACAGGCAAGATCATACTGAATGGGCAAAAAACCGGAAGCATTCCCTTTGAAAACTGGCACATGACAAAGGTGCCCTGTCTCGCCACTCCTATTCAACATAGTATTGGAAGTTCTGGCTAGAGTAATCAGGCAAGAAAAAAAAAAATAAAAGATATTCAATTAGGAAAAGACAAAGTCAAATTGTCTCTGCAGATGACATGATTGTATATTTAGAAGACCCCATGGTCTCAGCCCAAAATCTCCTTAAGCTGATAAGCAAATTCAGCAAAGTCTCAGGATACAAAATCAATGTGCAAAAATTACAAGCATTCCTATACACCAAAAACAGACAAAGAGCCAAATCATGAGTGAACTTCTATTCACAATTGCTACAAAGGGAATAAAATATGGGGCTGGGCACAGTGTCTCATGCCTGTAATTCCAGCACTTTGGGAGGCTGAGGTGGGCAAATCACAACATCAGGAGTTCAAGACCACCCTGGCTAACATGATGAAACCCCATCTCTAAAACAACAAAAATAAAAAAATACCTAGGAATACAACTAACAAGGGATACGAAGAACCTCTTCAGGAAGAACTACAAACCACTGCTCAAGGAAATAAGAGAGGGCATAAACAGATGGAAAAACATTCCATGCTCATGGTTAGGAAGAATCAATATCGTGAAAATGGCCATACTGCCCAAAGTAATTTATAGATTCAATGCTATCCCCTTCAGGCTACCATTGACCTTTTTCACAGAACTGGAAAAAACCACCTTAAACTTCATATAGAACCAAAAAAGAGCCTGCATAGCCAAGGCAACCCTAAGCAAAAAGAACAAAGCTGGAGGCATCACACTACCCGACTTCAAACTATACTACAAGGCTACAGTAATCAGAACAGCATGGTACTGGTACCAAAACAGAGATATAGACCAAGGGAACAGAATAGAGATCTCGGAAGTAATGCCACACATCTACAATCATCTGATCTTTGAAAAACCTGACAAAAACAAGGAATAGGGAAAGGATTTCCTATTGAATAAATGGTGTTGGGAAAACTGGCAAGCCATCTGCAGAAACCTGAAACTGAACCCTTTCCTTACATCTTATACAAAAATTAACTCCGATGGATTAAAGATTTAAATATAAGGCCTAACACCATAAAAATCCTAGAAGAGCTGGGTGCAGTGGCTCACACCTGTAATCCCAGCACTTTGGGAGGCCAAGGCAGGCAAATCACAAGGACAGGAGTTCGAGACCAGCCTGGCCAACATGGTGAAACCCCGTCTCTGCTAAAAATACAAAAATTAGCTGGGCATGGTGGGACATGCCTGTAATCCCAGCTACTCAGGAGGCTGAGGCAGGAGAATTGCTTAAATGGGACCTGGGAGGTGGAGGTTGCAGTGAGCCAAGATGGTGCCACTGCACTCCAGCCTCGGCTACAGAGTGAAACTCCAACTCAAAACAACAACAACAACAAAACCCTAGAAGAACACCTAGGCAATACCATTCAGGACATAGGCATAGGCAAGGACTTAATGATTTAAAAAAACACCAAAAGCAATGGCAACAAAAGCCAAAATAGACAAATGGGATCTAATTAATCTTAAGAGCTTCTGCATAGCAAAAGAAACTATCATTAAATACAAAAAAAGAAAAGAAAGAAAAGAAAAGAAAAAGAAAAAAGAGAAAAACAAAAAACAAAACCAAGAAACTCATTAGAGTGAACCAGCAACCAAAAGAAGCAACAAATTTTTGCAACCTACCCATCTGAAAAAGGGCTAATATCCAGCATCTACAAAGAACTTATACAAATTTACAAGAAAAAACAACTCCATCAAAAAGTGGGCAAAGGATATGAACAGACATTTTTCTTTTTTTTTCTTGTTTTCTTTTTTACTTTTCTTTCTTTCTTTTTTTCCTGTATATACTGTGTCCAGTTTCAGCTGTAGAACAGACACTTTTCAAAAGAAGACATTTATGCTGCCAACAAACATATGAAAAAAAGCTCATCATCACTGGTCATTAGAGAAATGCAAATCAAAACCACATTGAGATACCATCTCACGCCAGTGAGAATGGCGATCATTAAAAAATCAGGAGACAACAGAAGCTGGAGAGGATGTGGAGAAATAGGAACACTTTTACACTGTTGGTGGGAGTGTAAATTAGTTCAAACATTGTGGAAGACAGTGTGGCGATTCCTCAAGCATCTAGAAATAGAAATACCATTTGACCCAGCAATCCCATTATTGGATATATACCCAAAGGATTATAAATCGTTCTACTATAAAGATATATGCAAATGTATGTTCATTGTGGCACTGTTTACAATTGCAAAGACTTGGAACCAACCCAAATGCCCATCAATGATAGACTGGATAAAGAAAATGTTGCACATATAAACCATGGAACAATATGCAGCCATAAAATAGGATGAGTTCATGTCCTTTGCAGGGACATGGATGAAGCTGGAAACCATCATTCTCAGCAAACTGACACAAGAACAGAAAACCAAACACCTCATGTTCTCACTCATAAGTGGGTGTTGAACAGTGAGAACAGATGGACACAGGGAGGGGAACATCACCCACCTGGGCCTGTTGGGGGCCGGCAGGGGTAAGGGAGAGATAGCAGGGGGTGGGGGAATTGGGGAGGGATAACATTAGGAGAAATACCTAAAGTAGATGATGACGGGGTGGGGGATGGATGCAGCAAACCACCATGGCATGTGTCTACCTGTGTAACAATCCTGCAGGATCTGCACATGTACCCCAGAACTTAAAATATAATTTAAAAAAAAATTAAGAAAAAAATATTTCCTATGTTTTCCTTTTGGAGTGGTTATCTCTTTCTCATAAATTTATAGAGCATTTTTACTTATCAAGAATATTAACTCTTTGCTTACTAATTTTGCTTATGTATGTTTGACATGGTATGTACTTTTTTGGGGTAAAATTTTTTTTTTTGAGACAGAGTCTCAATCTGTCACCCAGGCTGGAGTGCAGTGGTACAATCTCAGCTCACTACAATCTCTGCCTCCTGGGTTCAAGTGAGTCTCCTGCCTCAGCCTCCCCAATAACTGGGATTACAGGCATGTGCCACTACACCCAGCTAGTTTTTATATTTTTAGTAAGATGGGGTTTCGCCATGTTGGCCTGGCTGGTCTTGAACTCCTGACCTCAGGTGATCCTCTCACCTCAGCCTCCCAAAGTGCTAGGATTACAGGTGTGAGCCACTGCGCCTGGCCTTGGGTAAAATTTTTAAAAACTATGCCCCTTAAAGAAATTCTAAATGTAAAGCTCAAGCAAGTAAAAGGACTGCTATTTAATGAAAAGAAAAATACTGACTATAAATCTAAGTGACCTTACCCAAAATTTATGAAAGTCCCTAGAGATCTTAGGGCTTCCTTTTTTATGATTTTGCACAATTTTTAATGTAATAAAAAAGGGAATGTTAAAAATGTTATTCAAACTCCTTGTCCTCCTTTTAAGGGAATAGTTTAAGCTGTCTTTGACATTCTCTATACTAAAAGGAATTAGGAAGAGAGTTATGTTTTTAAATTGGTATTATTTTAGTTTTAAAATAGATTTTAATTAATTAATTAATTAATTAATTAATTTTTGAGATGGAGTTTTGGTCTTGCTGCCCAGGCTGGAGTACAATGGTGAGATCTCGGGTCACCGCAGCCTCTGCCTCCTGATTCAAGTGATTCTCCTGCTTCCACCTCCCAAGTAGCTGGGATTACAGGCATGTGCCACCAAGCCTGGCTAATTTTGTATTTTTAGTAGAGACGGTGTTTCCCCATGTTGGTCAGGCTGGTCTCAAACTCCCAATTTCAGGTGATCCACCCGCCTTGGCACCCAAAGTGCTGGCATTACAGGTGTGAGCCACCACGACTGGCTAGATTTTATTTTTTAAATTTAAGTTAGTTTGGAACTCCACTCTGACATTCCATCATGCTTCTTGCCATTTTACAAAATAGTGTCACCACTTTCCTTTGTGTGCTTAATCTTTTCCTTCAACTAATTTCTTAGCTTTTATGAAACTGCTTATTATTTTTATTTTATTCTTGCATAGGAGACGGATCAAATAGAGTAATACCTAATTATATCACCATGAGATGGCAGAACGGAATGTCAGATCTGTAGACTTTTGACAGGAAAGTGAGTATATGTGTGTTCTGGAGACCTCTTACTTCATCTTGTGGTGATATCATATAATTATATCAATTACTCTTGCATTCCTAATAGTTATATGTGTTCTCACAACTCATTACGTTGTTAGGCATTGCTCTAGTTATTGGTACATTTGCATTAGTTATTTGGTTATTAGTAATAAATATGATAACATTAAGACTTGCGTGTAGTTAAAAATGGAAATACTGTTGCTTTGGTATTTTGTCCTTTCACTTAAAAGTTTGAAGTACTTCATTAGCATTATTTTTTTTATTAACTCTCTTGAGATGTGAACAAAGCAAGCAGATTGTAAGGTATATCTCCTGGCTAACCTAAGCTATGTAGCTAAATCACACAGCAAGTTAATGAACGGTTCCTGCCTAAAACATGAGAAACTTGAACTAGATGTTTCTCTTGTAACTAGAACAAAGCATTATCACATAACTAGTTGAATGGCTGAGCTAGGGTTTGAACTCCACTAGTCTGGCTTCAGTGCCCAAACTCTTCATTGTAACCAGATTGTTCTTTAACAGCATGAAATAGAACACAGAACCCCTGACTGTCAAACTCAGCTACAATGATTCTTAAGTATTATAAATCAAGATTGGATTCTTGTGGTTAAGACTGCATTTTTTTTTTGTATGATAAGCATCCTCTGCAATAATGGAGGGTCTAATGGAGTAGTTGAAAATTGTAATAAAATATCACATATTTTATTATGTGATAAACGACTTACAATATATGGTAAATCTTTTGGGAAGAAATTATGATTGGGAAACAATATCATCTATGTGTTTGTTTTCCTAGTATTAGGTAAGGTAAAATACAAATGAAACTGAGCATTTTATTTAGAATCTGCTTAGAAATTTTGCATTAGTTTATTTAGGGTTATTATTGACAACTGAAGATTCTGAACTACTCAGAAATCATGGTATTCTCATCTTAAAAAGGCTTGAAGGAAATATCCCACAAGGTTAATTAGTAGGAATCACTTCTGACTTTACACTCTGTGCCAGTTTTCTGAGTTCTTTATAATAAGCCTGTTTTTTTCCTTGCAAATTAAGAAATAGTTTGGTTAATAGAATGGTTTCTAACAATATACTGCTCATATTAGCTTCAATAATTTCTAGAAACCAGGATGTGCTGCTATTGTTTTGTTTTTTTCCAGAGTATTTAAAGTCTACAAAATTGAGTAGACTTAAAATACACCTTTCACAGTGTATTTTAAGTTTCATTAGACTTTTATTGTAACACAAACTATCACAGTACTGTAACGCTTAATGTTAACGTTTTGTGGTTTCCAGTTGAATGCCTTTAAGTATAATCTAAGGTGAGGCTTATTTTAATGAGCCAATGAATAGACTTTAAGGGAAAGGGTCTGTGAGGGCCAAAATTTAGTTAACTGCCGCTCTAGAGACAGCTTATTTGTTAGAAACCTGAGTTGAATCCTGGCCCCTCTCACTAAGTTACAGTCCTTTATCTACAAAATTACACTTACCTCATAGTGTCCCGAAGAATAAATACACAGCGTGTAACACAGTGCCTAGTGTACAGTAAGCACTTAGTAAACATAAGCTATTATTAGGGCTAAGCACTGGACAAATTATGTCCAGGTATTGCAAGGTATTTTCTACAGTAAGCTGTGAACATAATTTTAAATCTTCATGGGAATTAATCTACTTTTTTCTGCCCTGGGAAAATTTAATAACTTTTAGATAACAACGTTCACAAAAATTTATCTCCCACCAAGAGAAGTTGTCTTTTATGCTCTTTAAGTCAGTTTTATTACAGGTAAATATGTACCAGCTTTTTCCTCTACTTGTATTGAGACCTGCCTCCAATAGTCAGACATTCCTAATAAGCACTGTGGAAATAGCAAATAACATTGATGTCTGCCCATCACTGAAGGCAAAAAGTTGGTTTATCCAGGCCTCAGGGAAGGCAGGTAACTTCTCAGACCACCAGATTATCTTGATCTTCAGCCTGCTTTCTTGTTGTTCTACATTTTAATAAACAATACATGTTTGATTATTTTATTTTATTTTATTTTTTTGAGGCAGAGTCTCACTCTGTTACTCAGGCTGGAACATAGTGGCAAGATCTCGGCTCACTGCAACCTCCACCTCCCAGGTTTAAGTGATTCCTGTGCCTCAGCCTATGGAGTAAGTGGGATGCACACCACCATGCTCGGCTAATTTTTCATTTTTGTAGAGATGGGGTTTCGCCAGGTTGGCCAGGCTGGTCTCAAACTCCTGACCTCAATCGATCTGCCCGCCTCGGCCTCCCAGAGTGCGGGGATTACAGCCATGAGCCGCCATGCCTGGCCTATTTTATTATGTTAAAGATTACAGTATAGGTTTCTAGAAAGCCTGGATGGAAGTTCTCATATTCTAGGTAGTATTTAGCTATTGAATAGAAATTTATTTTCAAGACCTTAAAGTTTGTGATTACATACAATTTTTGACTTGGTGTATGAATATATTGAAATGAACTTGATACCATTATATTCACTTTAAAGCATATGGACACAGTTTCCTAGAACCAGTCTCTAATGACTGTCCTGAAGCTTTTCATACTTTTCATATTTTTCCATTTCAACTATCTTATTTCCTTATTTATTTTAATTTTTTTGAGACAGAGTCTTGGTCTGTCACCCAGGCTGGAGGGCAGTGGTGCAATCTTGCCTCACTGCAACCTCTGCCTTGCTTCAAGCAATTCTCCTGCCTCAGCCTCCTCAGTAGCTGAGATTACAGGTGCACACTACCATGCCCGGCTAATTTTTGTACTTTTAATAGAGACAGGTGTCATGATGTTGGCCAGGCTGGTCTTGAACTGCCTGCCTCAGACTCCCAAAAGAGTGAAAACTGATAGAAGGTAGAATGTAACTAGAAATCCTCCTAGCCATCATCCAAGGAGTGGAACTATATACTAGCTCTGTTTTTTAAAGCTTTACGCAATCAATTCAGGATGATTATTGTATTATCTTTGGGGAATCCTTGATCCTGAACAAAGCTTCATTGTTAGTACTACTGTGTTAAAAGTTCTATTGAGTGAAACAGAGGATATAGTCTACTTTAAAGGCCAAGGGAAGGCATCAAAATATATAATTGCTTTGTCAAAAACTCCCACCTTTAGAAACTCCTGGGGGGGTGTGCAGTGGCTCATGCCTGTAATCCCAACACTTTCATAGGTTTCATAGGCCGAGGGGGAGGAACACTTGAGGTCAAGTGTTCAAGACCAGCCTGAAGTACACAAGTTTTTTTTCTCCACTTGATAAAAGAAAGGCATTGTCCGACCTATCCCAAATACTGCTGTAGATGCATGCAAGCTGTCATGGGCGACACATAGGTGAAATCTTCATAATTTGTTGAGCTATCATAAACCCGCAAGACTTGCTAAATTTCGATTCTTTATAAATAGTTCTTTATGGGTAAAGCTTTGTATATTGTGGCTAGTGTACAGTGTATTATTCAATGAGGGAATTAGAACACATTTTTATCAAATCATATAAAATATGCATTACAATTAGTATGAGTCCTCATCTTCTAAAATCTTCAAAATTTTTAACTTTATTTACAAAACATATTATTTTAAAAATAGCTGCTAAATTAGTAGACCAAAACATTCTGTTTCATTAGATTTATTTTAAAAGTTGAATCATGATTTTTCTCAAGACATGCATTTCCAGGAAATCTGTGGCCAAGATTGTCGAGCTGTTTACCCAGTCCATTTCTAGAATGCTAGGCTGCATTCCTGTCCTCCTGCTCTTTCAGGTTTGCCAATATAATCGGTTCTGGTTATTGGAAAGAAGATGAAGTAAGGGGCTCCACTTCTAGACCTGGCCATGTGCCCTCTTCATGCTCATTCTTTTCTTCTTCAGCTATACAGAAGCCATATGCTGAAAACAACAGAGCCCTGAGAAGTGTCCTTGAATCACCACCTAGTCCTTTTGGGGACTCTATATTAAAGCAAGAAATAGCTTTTAATTACATTAAGCTCCAAGATTGTGTACTTTATCTCTTACAGTAGCTAATATTATCCTAAGTGATAATAATGCATTTACTACTTATGTTTAATAATCACTAAAACATGTATATATATTTTTGTTGTCTCAATCAATTCTGTATTAATATTTGTAGTAACTCAAGAAGAAAAAATTTTATCAGCCAGAACCACTTAGAGTAAAATAAATACAATTTTAAATTATGTACTTATTTTTGTTGTAATACATATATATATATATATATATATATATGGTAGTCAATAATAATTTCAAACATAAAAGCATTATGATAAAAATCTGAAAAAAATGGGATAGGAATACAAGCTCAAGGAGAAAAAGGAAAGATGTAAGCTTTCTAAATGTTAAAAAATAACTTTTTCATATACTTTTAAAAATAGATCCACATGTTATATTTGGATTTCATTGGATTCACTTAAAATGAAATTTATAATATGCTGGAAATTATGACCTTTGCAGCTATTTAAAATGATGAAAAATTTAGATGTCAACTTAAAGCTTCCTGAGAGATACCTAGTTTATGAAAATTGTTTTGGGGGGTTTTCAAACAAAAACGTGTAAATGCACTGACAAGAGGGGGAAAGTGCATGCTTTGGAATAAGTAGCTCTGTATCCAGGCTATGTTTTTACTGTAGGACTGGGCAAGCTAGGTTAACTCATTGGTCCTTATTCTGCTTCAATAAATTAAATGAAAATACATATGAAGTGCTACCTGGCACTAACCCGTCTTGCTATTAAAAATCTTAAGTACTTCTAGGAAGGAAAAATTAGTCACTCAGGTGAAAATTAATTCATCAGAGCCCATATTTCTGAGAGTAGATAAAAAAATTAGGTACAGAGGGGAAATAACTTATTTGGGAGAGAAAGGATAATTTTAGAACATGTAGTTGAGCCAAGAGAAGAAGCTCTGTTACCTGGCAAATGATACTGGAAGGGACCCTATTTTGGAGGACACTTGGAAAGGCTGGCGAGGTTGTACATAAAGGAAAAGTGAGAAGAAAGCATACATTTGCTTTAACTTGCCTTGGTTCTAACTACCATGCAATGAAAATAACTCTCATATTTCAAAGGCACTCAAAAGATTGCTTTTAAGTGGGTGTAATTATTTTATATGTACACTAACTTGCAGCACGTGCTTCATGAACCTCTTCCTTGTGTTCCATGTGACTCCTATTTTAAGTAGATCCAAAGTGGTACCAGAGTTAACCAGGTCAACTACCACCTGTGCTTGTTTCCTTTAATTCTTTTAAATTCCTGGGAGAAATCAAGACATTAAGTTAGCAATTTCTTTATCTAATACCTCTGATTACAGTGTGTACCTTTTGAAACAGCGGATGAACGCTAGCAGGCATGGCTGGAGCAGAAGATAGGGAAGGCTGTGGAACTGCAGAAGTTCATGCATGCTAAATAGGGCGGATGCAGTTAAAATAATACCTGGCGTTGCCTGACCTTTCTATTCCTTCATTAGCCACCTTAAAATTCAGATTTGTTGTTAGAGTTCTTATATTTAGGAAGGGATCAGAGAAAGTCACAAGAGAACCATGTTTTGAAAAACAGTAGCCAATGTTGGTAGGAGTATAAATTGGTACAAAACCTTAAAAATTTAGCAATGTCTTTCAAAATTTTAAGTACATTTGCCATTTGGAGCTAGCAATTCCATTTCTAGGAATTTACCCTGCAAATATATCTTTGCACCTGTGTGCCAAGATGTAAATACTCATATAGTCATTACTTTAAATAGCACAAGATTATAAACAACTTGAGTATTTGTCAATAAGAATGATTATTTTTTTTTTCTTTGAGACAGAGTCTCACTCTGTCGCCCAGGCTGGAGTGCAATGGCACAATCTTGGCTCACTGCAACCTCCGCCTCCCGGGTTCAAGTGATTTTCCTCCCTTAGCCTCCCAAGTAGCTGGGATTACAGGCACCCGCCACCACCACCACACCCAGCTAATTTTGTATTTTTAGTAGAGATGGGGTTTCATCATGTTGGCCAGGCTGGTCTCGAACTCCTGACCTCAGGTGATCCTCCTGCCTCAGCCTCCAGAAGTGCTGGGATTACAGACGTGAGCCACTGTGCCCTGCCAAGAGTGGTTAATTTTAATTGTATAGCCATATAATGGAATTCCATGAAATATGACAGCTCGACAACTGATAAGAAAGAATGGAATATTCCTGGCCAGGCGAGGTGGCTCACGAATGTAATCCCAGCACTTTGGGAGCACTTTGTGATCCGAGGCGGGCGGATCACAAGGTCAAGAGATTGAGACCATCCTGGCCAACATGGTGAAATCCCCGTCTCTATTAAAAATATGAAAGGAAGGAAAAAAAAAGAAAGAATGGAATATTCCTTAAGAAGCAATCTGTAAGATATACTAACTAAAAAGAGCAAGGCACACAGCATTTTGTCTAGAATTCTACTTTTTGGTTAAAAAATACACAAATATGTTCATACTGTATACAAAGGATATCCTTACAAAGATAAATAACAAAGCCATAATAGTGGCTGCCTGTGGAAAGGGTTATATGAGAGAGAGAATTTTTATCCCATCACCTTTTGAATTTTGTATTATATGCATATTTAAAAAAAATTTTTTTTAGAAAGTTCCTAAACTTTACAAGGCTGAGAAACTAATATGTATTGCTGTTTACTGGTCTTAACAGCTCAAATGCCATATAGAAGACAATGTTTGGTGCAAAAGTATTTGGTTTTGTTACAAAGACAAATAGTGCATTATCTATGTGCATCCCTTCTGGACTTGTGGGTGTTGGGATTTTAAGCAGGAGGTAATAAATTATGCTCCCTTTGTTCCCTTTCAGTGTGCTGCAACAAATCAGATATACCCAGGAGTCAGACAAGGAGCAAAATAGCCATCGCTACCACTAATGCTGGATTTGACAACTGGGTTTAATACGTAGGCCTTTGCTCAGATAATTAAACTTGCCATCCAGAGACAGCTGGACAAATGCAGGCCTCTCCTTAGAGGCAGCCAGCTTAACACTTAGAAGAGGAA